AAGGCCGTTTCCTTTCCTCCTGCAGGCTGCAAGCCAGCTCCCCTCACAACTCACCCTCTAAGCAGGCAGTCCATAAGCAAGCCACTGTCTTGCCCTCGAAGTCACAATTTATGCTTCTAATTTTAATTTTCCTCAGCTTAGGTCCCAGAAGGATTTATTAAATTTGCTTTGTGGAACCCATTAACTCTAAACTGACTAATGATGTTACTCTAGGCTTCGAATCAGTTTGTAGTAAATTCTCTATACACAGGACTTCAGGAATTTTAAGTCAGTTCATAAATGAAAAGGTTTACTCAATTTGCCTAAAAGTTATTAGTAATTAACTGACATCAAGAGACCGTTGCTTGCAGAGGTGGTGAATAGCACCCGAGAATTCTGGCAAGAGTGGATATTCATTATGTGGCTTAAATGAGAAGGTAGAAATTCAAGCAGCTTATCTTAGGTACTCTGGCTTAACTCCATGGTCAAAATGGGTAATAACAACCTATAATGATGAATTTTTGTGTTTTTCATGGGCTTGGTGGTAACACCAGAGCCAGATGCATGGAGATGGAAAATCTAGATTAATAATTTGACATAAGCGTACATGCAAGAAATGGTCTTTCTCTGAGTACTCTTCTTAGACAAGGTGGAGCCATTAGCAGCGGGTAGCACACATGCTTATGTAAGATGAGAGACATCTCGGCAGGCAGAGGGGCACATAAGACAGCTGTTGTTTCCGTGGGCTTTGAGGGTCCTTACATAATGAAAAATGCCTGTCATGGCCCTGAGTGATGGCGGCTGTTGGGAAACCAGTGGCCTATGGAAGTCGGGGCGTAAGGAGTATTCCAGCACCTTCTTAGGTAGGAGGGTGCTTAGGACTGGAGGGTGCTCACTGTCAGCAAGTATCTGCCCCCCCTTGGCTTGAGCCACTCCTCTAAACTTGGCCAACTCACACTTCCCTGAGTCAACATCTAGAATGTGGTGTATTTCATGGACAGGGTGCTGGATGCGGGTCAGTCCTCTGAAGGAAGGTAGAATAGCACCTGGGACTCCGTGGAAGGATGAGATCTAGCTATGCTGCCTTTCGAGTCTGCCCAGGGCGAGCCAGCTCTGTCTGCAGACACCCCAACCTGCACCCGTGGTGGGTGGGGGCAGTTCTTAGTCCAGGGGTACCTCCCCTGCTCTGTAAGCTGCTTGCACATTGCCCATGGGGGTTTTGCCATAGACAGAGCCTGATGGGGATCAAGTGCCTTCTGCCTTCCTATTTTGGATCCTCCCATTTCAAAAGCACCCCAGAGAGCAGATTTGCTATTTAGCAGGTGAGATAAACAGCCTCCTTTGGGAGTGAAATGGAGTCAAAAGAGAAAGATGGCGTATAGAGAGAAGTGGGTGTGGATAGGCACGAGTCAAGGGCAGAATTCTCTGAATTCTCTGGGGGACTGGGGTTGATTTGGGGTGTTAGTAGTCAGATGCATTGATGTCCACGTCCAGCACGCAAAACCAAAGGCCACCACTAGGTGACTGTCCCTGTGGCAGGGCGCCGGCAGAGCCCCTACCCAGAAAATTCTCCATAGCAAGTTTTACCTATAAAGTGTTTCTCTGCATTTGTTTGGACATTGCTTCTAAGGAAAGCAGGGTAGAAAATAAAAGTCCACATTTGCATGTGTTTTTCTGGGTTTCCAGGTTTGAGCAAGTTCAACTCTCACTCCAGGAGGGAAAAAAAATAAGACTAGTTTGCCAAAGTGGAGTGACCTGATTCTTGTTGGATCAACATGTTATCAAGTTGAGGTTGTCACTACAAAGCCAGTGTGATGAAGCCTGCCTTTTCAGACGAAAATCAAAGCCCTGGCCTGCCAGCCCGGAATTGCTGAACTCAGCAGCCCCTAATCAGCCGGTCTATATGTAGATTTAGACATCTCCAGCAGGCTGCGAGCCTATCAGGCCCAAACTGATTATTCTAATCAAGTGTTTTAATTAAGCGCTTATTGCCAGGATCACAGAAACCAGGCCTGCTTTCCAGTAGTAATGGGCAGTATTTTTTTTTTTTTTATTCTTCTTTACAGTGATAATGTTTGGCTTTGTGGGGGTGTATTTAAGGTTTTCCTAAAGTAGGTCATGGGAGAGTCCCCTGTGAGGTGCTCGCTGCTGAGCTGGCAGTCTGGCCAGTGGACAAAAAAATAAAATGAAAAGATACTACCCACGGGCTGGAGATGAATCCACACCCCGACAACAGCACAGCTTTGCCTCCTCCACCCTAAAACACAAAGGCAGTACTAGCTAGCCCAGGATTTCAAAAAAAATATATAAACACACACACATCGGGTTGGCTTTTATTGGAATGCCTAGATGCAATCTATAGTCATCAAGTTATGGAAAATTCAGGTCACATAGAAAGTTAAGAAGGCAAATGAAAAGAACAATACAAATCAGACAAAATTTACATCTCAAAATATCATGTAAGCATTTTGACTGGCTTCGCCTAAAATACTTTGAATATCAATTTCTTTTTTTGTAAGCTAATTCTTTTCATTATATAGTCCCCCCACCCTCCCAACTCTTAGAAAAAGGTGTTTTGTTTACATATTCCCCAAGGTCACTATTTCTTGTAAAAGCATGTCCAGATCACAAGTCTTTTTAGAAAGAAATAGGCTCATTATACCTACTAACAAGACACTAATTGGGTTGATTTGACTTCATCTAAAATAAGCACCAGGAGATACTCCAGATCCGTTATTTAGCGGTGCCAGTGTCAAGGCCAGTCCGTGTCGAGATGAGGATAATGTAATGACTTCACTTCTGTCATGGGATACAAGCTTTCCATGGGCAATACATCAGAAACATTTCTGAGAATTTAGACTCAGAGCCTATTTCAACCAAAAGTACTTACAGCATGCTAAATACAGCCCCGCGGAGAAGTGGCTTCCACAGAACTGCAAACACCTAAGTTAACAGTTAAAAAATAAAATGTAAAACAGAGCCATGTTTATGTGGTTTGAAATCGCAGAGTTTTCTAAATTTGGGCTTTGTAATACTTGCCAAAGGACTTCCAGGATAAAAAATATTAATGCTAATCTGTGCTTTCATTCTAATAAAATATCAGCATTCATTAGAAGATTAATGACTTCCGTATGTTCTACCAAATACACAAAGACGGTAATAGCACTGACACTGTAAATTCAGTAGCTATTTTGAAACTTTCCCAGCCAATCTGTTTAATAAACACGCCTACTGTGCAATTTAGAGTATGTGATACATACAAAGCAGTTAGAAAATTATTTTCAATACATCACTTGAACCTTTATATTTACGACATGTTCACTTGCTATATTTATCACCATTATACAGAGAGGAAAACAGTGTGTACTATAGCTCAATGAACGGAGAAATATTTTCTAAAAATATTTTTGTGGCTGAATTGAGTGCTCACGAAGGAGATCTGCAAGGAGGCTGAGCCGGCAGCCAAGCATGGTCCCGCCCCGGCGCAGGAGGCCACAGCTGTCACCTCACCTCCGGCTGCTTCCCCGAGAGCCGCAGAGGCTGCGCTGCAAACCAGCTCCCCTGGGCTACAGAGATTTGGTCTCCCTTTATTTGGTCCCTCTGGGTGACCTGAGGATTCAAACCCCACACTGGCGGAGTGGCCCTGACCTCCATCCCGCCGGCTTGCACCTGCTGGCTTTCTGCTACCTTCTCTATATCTCAAGACACACATTTAAGGTCACGACGACACCAGGTCCTTTCCTCCCTCCTTCCAAAGGTTTCCCGGGCACCTGATCGGCCTCCATCAGGACATGGAGTTTCAAGGAACAGGAACAGCAACACCCCGTGGTCATCAGTGTAACTCCCCCAGCCGCCCTGAGGTGGGAGAACCCCGCCTGCCCCAGCCTTTCCATGTTCCCTTACCTTCCGCCAGCCTGAGGGTTTTTCCAGCTGTGCCTCTTAATCGACAAAGGTTGAGGACACTGGCTTGATGAAAAAGAGAAGGAAGGGTAAGGAGCCTATCTCTGCTCAGCCTCCCCTTTAGGATTGCACTGACCTATCCATCTAGTGATAGAAAGTTGCACATTTTTTTTTTCAACCTAATACAAAAATATTAACACTTCTGGACATTATAGGCATAAGTTGTTATACCTCTACAATATAATAATTTATACTGTACAGCTATAACATAACAAAAGGTGCAATCCTTTTAAAAAAATCACACGGTTCACATGTTTTTATCATTTTATTTTTAAGTATAAACTTTTTAAACACTTTACATAAATTAACTCCTCTGAGACTAATATTTGATGTACAGTAAATTGTAATTCATATAAAAATCCATAAACAACTTGTCTCACATAATTTACAAAAAAATCAAGGTTTCCTTTGCTTATCAGTGACAAGGATTCTATTTGCCAGTTTATTCCCCACCCCCCAAGGCAAACCGCGTTAGCATTGTAAAATCCATTACGAAATCCGGGAGCAGAAGTCAGTGGTGCCAAGGTCTTTTTACAAAGCAGCACAGGGAGAGCAGTTGGGTTGTCTATAAACCGTATAATTTTGCCCCACATTTTAAAAGGAACAGAGATATATATCACATCCTATGCAGAGAGACTACTTTTTGTAAGCAAAGGTCGACAATTCGGTCACGTTTGGAAACACCGTACGCATTTTACCATAAATACAGCGCCTCGAGGGCGCGCGCGCGCGCGGCGGCCTCGGACAAACTGGAGGCCTTATTTTCCTCTTTCTTTCTTCCTTTTTTCTTTGCAACGCTTCAGTCCAAACTGAGTGCAGCGAGATGCATATGTAAACATATTCTTTAAAGCCGATCACCTTTAAGGTCATTCAGAAAAGAGGTTTTTTTTTTTTTTTTTGTGGATTTTTTTCCTCCAACAGCAACTGTCAGTCTCCTGGAAGGCTCTGCGCATCGGAGAGTCCAATTCGGATTGTGCTACAGACAAATCTGCGCAAAGGGATGGTGGAGGCTGTGGGGGGGCCGTGAGCGCACCCGCTGGGGGCGTCTTCCCTGGAGAGGGTGGCCGCGCCTCCGGCAGCCTGGGGGGTGCAGGGGGTTACCTCTTGCCGATCTCGCTTTGTCGGAGGAACTGGATGTTGTTGGCGCTGTCGGCCAGCTCGGGGTACTGCTCCACCGAGAGTACGTAGTACCCATCGTAGCCCTGCACCTTGCCGGCGCTCAGCAGCTGCCTCTTCTCGCCCTCCGTCCAGAGGCGCGCGCCCTCCTCGCCATCCCGCACCCGCTGCTGCTCGCGCGCCCAGGCCCGGGCGAGCGCGCGCTGGCGCGCCTGCTCCAGGATGCGCGCCTTCTCCTCGTCCAGGGTCATGCCGTAGCGCACGTGCAGCGCCAGCGCCCCGAACTGCATCTCCACGTCGGCGAACCTGCGAGTCCTGCCGTTGACCACCGTGGTGGACTGCGACACGGTCACGTTGATGCCGTTCTCCAGGGCCTTGCGGCCGCTGGTCAGCCGCAGCGTGCCCAGGTCGCTCTCGGGCGTGGTGGTCTTGATGAAGTAGTGCGTGTCCTTCCCCTCGATGGTGAAGTGCAGGTTCTCCAGGTAGAAGGCGTTGTTGAGCACGGCGGCCACCTTGATGCAGTCCTCGTTGGCGATGTTGAGCACGTTGGTCTGCACGCGGCCCTGGCTCACCGCCAGCATCACGCCCTTGCCGATCAGCGACTTGACCGTGGCGAACCACAGCCACGACTGCGCGCCACCGCCCCGGCGCCGGCTCACCTGGACCTCGGCCATCTTCCCCAGGGACAGGAAGGCCTTGGCCTGCCGCGCCACTTGTTGCTGGACTCCGAAGATGGGCTGCAAAGCGAACACAGCACAGGGAGGGGCACGGTTTAGAGAACTTCTGCAGCGCTGGGTTGCCGGGGAGCCGGCCTGCCTGGCAGCGCTCCCACTTTTGACACAAGAAAAGGGGCGGGGGGAGTTGGGTGCAGAGCTCCAGAGCAGTTATTAAAACCTCAATCGGCTCTTTGGAAATGAAAAGGCCTTCAAAAGCCCGGGTAGAGGAATGCACTCAAGATCCCCTCCCCTCAAGCTGATCCAAATGAGCTCTGAAATGTAAAAAGGGGTAACTCCATCTTGTATTAGTGGAGAGGTTTTCAGGCTCTAATGTGGGCAAAATATTCATGTTGTGCCTGCTTCTCAACGCTTTTCCCACGCCCACCCCATCTGGGGAACCCGGCTAATCAGGTCCAGCATCCCAAGAGAGCACGGACCCAGCACAGAGAAAGATCTGAGAGGCTGGGATTGCTCTGGGCTCCATCCGGCCTCCGGTGCACACGCTTGGCGGTGCGTGCTGTCATTTGGGTAAACTGGCCTCTGTCCTGGTGAACGCGGCCCTGAGCAGGCCCGTGGCCCTGAGCAGGCCCACGTCCCCTGACCGCAGAGCTGAAATGTACCAGGAAGAGCACACAGCCGGGCAGAGGGAGGCCAGTATTTATGACTTTAGGAAAACATTCATTTTTCCTAGACTTAGGGACAGTCGGCCATCTACTCTGGCAAGTGTTTTACATCGAGGGCATCTGAACGCTGCCATTTCTTATGCTGCCAGATGTTTGCCTGGCCAGCGTCTCCCACACGGAAACATCTGTTTGATTTGTAGCACTGAAAGAAGCATTTGTTTTTCTGCACTTGCGGCCGCCTCAGTGTTTTGTGGGCGATTCCTAAGCTGTCCTTCTGGTGCGCTGCTCTCGACTGAGAATCAGAACCATATTTATAAGGCTGCCTAGGAAAAAAGTTGGCAAGTCCATTTGTATAGCAAGGCGGAAGTGTTTTGCGACATGATGGGAAGTCAGACACAATCGGGACGGGTGGGCTGAAGCGCGCTGGGAAACTTCAGGATGTCTGCGTGGCCCTTTATCAGTGTAGAGAGATTTGCACTTAAAAATGTGAAAATGGCTCCAAGGCCCTGGGAACACGACTGGTTTTGCTTTTCAAATGTAAAGGTGACAACTGAAAATTGAATTGCTTTTATGTTAAGTGGGAAGTCCCAGAAAACAGAGGTACCGGCACTGTCCATACAGTGTGTGTGTGTGTATGTGTGTGTGTGTGTGTGTGTGTGTGTGATATGGCTGCATTTTTCCCTTTGTGTTCATTGAAATGATAGGAAATTGCTGGGAGTGGGGTGGGATTACTCTTTCTGAGAAACTCTGCACTCCTTACCATTATCGGGTAGCCCAATTTCTTGATCTTTAATTATTCTTGCTGTCAGCTAGAAATTCTGGTATTTTGTGGCGCTTTCCTTTCTGATCTCTGAATGATGGCAATTAGCAGTGCCATTTTCTGAAATGGCAGCTTTGACTTTGCAATTTTCCCTTTTACTTCTAGAACAGTGGCGGGCTTCCTGATCCATTATACTGAAGACAATTCCATAAACACGGAGTGGTAGGAGGCGCCTCACTTACCAGAGGACATTTCGTTTTCATTTTAATCTTTCCCCAAGAAACACTGCTCTCATTTGGAAGAATTTGGACTTTGTGGCATTGTTTGGGGGCTGCTACATTTGTAACATGGATCCCCTGCCTTCCTGTTTATTGTATCTTTGTCTTCAGGTCCCAAGTATCTGAAATCCGCTTTCCTGGGGTTCTCTGTAGAAACCCCATGTTCCAAAACAAGCTTCTGCGTTTTATTATTTTTGATAATGCCTATGTTTTTATTAGCTTCACTAAAAACAGACTGAAGCCTGTTTAACAGCCCCCTCATTGGCAGAAGAGAAATGCAGAGGGAAATGTTTGATTCCCTATGAGAGTCAAAAAAATTAAAAATTATCCTTGGTACAGTTTCCACCAGGGTGGGTCGATTAAACATGGGTAAATAAGACACGCATAAGCCATTTATTGCCTTTTCATAGTTTGGCTTTTTGTTTCTTACCGGCACATCATCCCACTGCTGACTCTTCACTAGCTCGTATGAAGGCTCCGTTAAATCAAATTTGGGAACAGGGAATCCAGGAATAGCATTGTGCAGATGGAAGCCAAATGTCACCAGCCAGCTGTTAACATCTAGGAGAAGAACGTTCAGAATGAAAGGTGCTTGAGTTTATTTTGCGCTTTCATAAATTCAAATTCTTACTTTAAAGGGAACCCCACGTTCACAAACAATAACTTGAAAAGGAGCCCAGGTTTGCCCTTCATCCCACAGTTCAAAACCTGCCCTCTATTTTTAGACACGGAGACAGGCCCCTCCATAGCAGGACGATGACAAGGGCTACGGAAAATGCAGAGTTACAGATACTCAGACGGGATGAGCTGTCAGGCAGGCGCGGTGGCTCCGTGTGATAGTAACAGCGACACGGAAAGGGTAATGACTGCGCCGCGGCGCAAGGACACGGTGGTAGCAGACAAATGAAATTTGCTCTGTCGTTAGCAAAGGCTGGTCTTAAATCGAAGTATGTTATTAGCTTTCAAAAGTGATTGCCCAAGGATATACAGACTTCCACAACCCATTTTCTATTAATAAACTCCCTAAATGGCGAGCATTCAAATCAACAGTTGATCCTTAATCAAAGATGAATGCTGAAAGCTGGCACAACTGGCTAAGGGCACTGGAGCTGTGACTACCATCAGTTCTGACTTCAAAGGCTCACTGTGCACAGGTGGAGACAAACTTTTTTGGGGGAACGAACCTGGAAACCTTTAAAATGGTATTTTAAAATACTGCCATGTGACTCCAAAAGCCATTAAGCTCCGAATAAGGCTTTTATTCTATTCTGGAGGTTATAATGTTACAGAACTACTCAGCAGGCTTGCGGCTTTATGAGTACAGTTGGGCGTAGATTATTTTATATATTAAGCACATTGCTGGGAAATTTGAAATTGCATTTCACCTAATATATTTTATGCTGTTCCATCTCTCTTTTGATGTTTTTCAGAAAATGCTGCTATGGCATTCCCTGCAGTCCATGTTGCTAGGAGAGCACGAATTCAGGAGCTGTGGGCTTTCCAGCCTTTCCGTCAGCTTCTGTCAACACCTCTTAAATAACCAGTGGTAAACTGCTTGTCAGAATGATGGAGAGCCACTTGTTTCCCACTTCCTTCTCTAGGGTACCAGCCCTTACCTCATTCCCAGCCGGAAGGTCCTTTGTCCAAAGCATCATCTGGCAATAAGACTGGTGATATTCTCCCTCTTTTAAAGGGAAGGGAGGTAGCAGCGGTGCTGATGCTGCTGGACACGGTGATGGTGGTGCTGAGATAAACCCCAAATTCACAAAGGATCCAAGGTGATACTTTCTTTGAGGGGGAATGACAGTGTATATAAGCTTTCAGGGGGGTCTTATGTTTTGTCCAAAATTCTTTCTCCTGAATGGTGGAGGGTTGGGGGCAAAGGTTCTGCTGCTATGAACAATGTGTGTGTGACAGTGAAAACCGAAGGGTCTTAGGTGTTGGGCAGTATTGCAAAAACATGGGGCTCGAATGTGGATGTGCGCTGGAAAATGCTCAATGGGAATGCCATAGGATGCTGCTGAATCAGGATGCTGAAAGAAGGTCTTGCAGCTGGCTCCCATGGAAGAGAGATCTAAAAAGCTTTAGCAGTCTGGGAAAGCTGGAGGCAGCTGTGCAATGAATAGGGGGCAGCATGCGGAGCGCTGTACTGAGAACTGAGCAAACAGACTCCTCAGTATGCCTCAACTACGGAGCAAGAAGAGAGACAGCCTGGAGCTGCATCTAACGAGCCGAAACGAAGCAAAACAGAATCCTCCCCACCCCCAACCAAACCAGACCCTGTGCAAAAAAAGAGAAAGGAAAGAACCTTCCTCTAGGAAACACACGCATTTGAGAGGTCAGTCATGGTTGTGTGTTTCAGGAAGGCAGCTGGAAGCAGGTTTCAGAATCCTTGGTTGAGCGAGCGGGAGGAGGAGTCAACCCACTAAAGGGAGCTACAGTATTGCTATAGGAACCTGGTCTCTGCGTCACACACCTGCTGGTTCTGTGGTGGTGGAAGCGGGATCTGATCTTAAAAGAGTAGCATGCACTCAACTTGGAAAGGTCTCAAATCTATACCTTGAGAATCCTCCTCCTATTGGCAGAAAAGTGAGTGTGCCCATCAGTGGTGTCATCATGTAAGGAATGCTCTAAATGGCCCCAGGAGACAGTGGTATAGAAACAGGACCCTTTGGCTCAGCAATTGATGGAGGAAATGGTTCCATGTGGGCCCTGGGGTGAGGGCAGTGAAGAGAGAGTTTAACTGCTCTTGGGGGTGAGATGGGGACTCACAAAAGGCTGGGTTCAAACTTATGCTCCTTCACATCTTAACCCAGGTATGAAAGAACCACCAACACTGCGTGCTTGGAAGGTAGGCCCTATTTAATGCAGAACCGACTAGATTACTGTATTTTAATACCATCAGCTAGGCATCCTCACCCCACTTTATTAAGACTCTGACTCAAAAAAATGGTGTGACTTGTCCATAGAGCCACACAATGCGGAGGAGTTGAGTAAGAACCCTGATGTAGGGACTCCAATTTCATCACTTTTTCTGTGCATCCTGCATCACTTCCTTTCAGTGACTGCATGTTGCGTCCTTTCAGAAAACTGCAGCCTTGGGCTCGGCAGGCAGAACACAAAGGAACAAACTATATCTCAATTTCCCTTTGGGCTTTCTTTATGGCTTTTTTTTCATCAAGAAATGAATACATGCAAAAGGCTAGGCATTGGGGTTTGTGCAAGTTAAATATCGAGTCAAAGAAAGCAAGTCCAGTTATTTTGTGTGTTCATCTAATGATCGAAGTGACTCAACGCTTCGAAACGAAGATAAAAAGATTACGCTTACCTGTGATGTAGTCTTTCACATCGTGGATCTTGCTTGCGGGGTTGTTATTCCTAAACATATACAGGTTGAAAGGAGCTGGGTCCTTCCCGATTCTTTTCCAGATTTCTATGTCAGGCGTAGTCCATCGTCCTGCCAGAATGTCATAATCTCTTTCTCCAAAGTGGATTAATTTTGTGAGCGGGTCGTATAAGCCCCCGTGGAAGCCAATGACCAGCTGAAAGTCGATATTGGAGTCAAAATAGATCTCCCCGTAGGCGGTGTACTGAATCTGCTTGAGCATAAGCCCGTTGCTACTGAACACGGCCAGCGGCGTCCCCGTGTTATCGCAGGCGATGTAGAATTCGTCCCCACTGCTGATTTCCATGGCAAAAAGGTGTCCTTGGAGATCGTAATAGAGAGAGGTGATTTCTGAGCTGGAGTGGTTGTAGACGTGCGTAATCCTGGTGGGGTAAGTGAGGTCGGCATAGAAAAACTGCAGATGCTGGCCCAGACTGGTCTTGCTGGACACGCGCCTGCCCAGCCCGTCATATCGGTAGATGACAGTCCAGCCGCTGCCTTTGCTGTAGACGCGGGTGAGCAGCCCCTTGGAGCTGTACTCGAAGATCTCCGTGCCCCGCTGCCGCAGGAAGCCGTCCTCGTCCAGCCGGTACTGGACGTCGCCCAGCCGCGTGATTCTGTCCCGAAGGTCGTAGCGCAGGGGTGTCAGGCGCGCGCTGTTGCTGGGGTTCAGCAGGTGAAGGTTCCCGTTCAGGTCGTAGTTGTAACGCCACATGATCTTCTCATTCAGATAGACGGTCTGCAGCTGGCCGTCCACGTCATACTCGTAGCCATACTTGGTGGTGTTGGCAAAGGGCCCTATTTTAATCTCCCTCTTGGTCACCCTGCCCATGTTGTCGTATTGAATTGTAATCCAGTACATGAGTGACCTGAAGATCTCGTACTGGATCTCCTTGATGCGGCCGTGGGCATCAAAGTGCTTGGTGTATGTCATCACGGCGGTGGAGATGATCTGGTTGATGTCATAGTAGATGACGCCAAACTTGCCAAACTGCTCGACCTTGCCCGAGATGTCATCGAACTGGTAGAGGTCGATGGGCAGCGGCGTTTCGTTGATGACGCCCTGCATGCTGGTCACTCGGAAGCTGTTGTCGTAGCTGTAGTCGAACCTGGCGTTCACCATCCCGTCCTCGCTGAAGCGGAAAATCTGCCTGTCGATCAGGGGCCCGATCTGCCGGTAGCGGATGGTGCAGATGAAGCCATCGCTCTGCAGGTTCACGGTTTTCAGGACGCCCGCCGTCTCGTCGTAGGTGAAGCTGACCCGGGTGCTGTCGTACAGGATCTCGGAGAGCCGGGTCTGCCTTCTGTATTTGAACAAGACCCTGCGGCTGGTCCCCAAGAACGCCGTCTGCAGGAGCAGCCCCTCCTCGTTGTAGTCGGTGATGACCGAGGCGTTGCTCTCCGGGGGGTTGTAGATGTTTCGGTAGTAGCCGACCGAGCGGATGGTCTGCATGGTGTGGCGGGCCACGCTGGGCATGGTGATGGCCGACAGCCGGTCCCACATGTCGTACTCGAAGATGTACTGCCGCTGGCTGTGGAGCAGGAGCACCATGGACTGCGGAGAGGGCACAGGTATTAGCCAGGGTTCAGGAAGGGGAAGGCAAAGCCCATTCAGTGACCGTGCCATGGACATCCCACTGGAGAAAACAATTTTCGCTTTAATTGCATTATCCTTGACCTTACATGTGGTTAACGAGTCCCTGCCTAATTTGCTTGGATGCTCTTTGTGAGGGTGCGGCTGTCAGTGGCTCAGAATTCACCAGGTGCCCGGGTGACACCTTCTCATCCCAGGCTGCCTGGCCAGCAGATTGTCAGTGGACTTGGACAGCTTGCAGGCCAGGCACGAGCAGAAGCGTTCGAAAGACGATAATTCAAGGAGAAAATAGCATTTGGGAAATGCAATCCTACCCATAATTAGCAATTATTTAGGAAGGTGGATTCCCCCCCTCATTTGATTCAAGAGCCACTCAAATCATGTTTTAATTTCCAGGGCATTGGGGGTGGGGAGGAGCAAAGCATTCAGAGTATCATTTTATGAAGAAGAGACATAAAATTAGCTCAGAATGGATCCTGTGTACATACAGGCTCAGTGTCAACAAACACTGCTGAATTAATCATGGTGCATAGCGCTGTGAATGGTTTCCCAGGCACCCCATCCAGATGTGGGTGGTGGTGGGTATATTTATTTTTTTCCTCTAAATTCCTATGTGGCATCTGTAATGACAATACACATCTTTATTTTTACATTTCCTCTTGTGAGCACCAAACCTGATCTGTCCCCCAGGGGCTGTGAGAATGGCTTCTGGGCTAACACACCGTTTGGTGCTAAATTATGAAGTGAATAGATACATAAATAAAAATAAGCTCGGCTTATTTTGCAGTAATTGTGGCAAGACAGAAGGCATTCATTTATTAGGCCAACATGAACGAAGGTGGGCCCTGAGGCTGGTTAAGTGGAGCTCAGAAGTAATCCCGGGGTGTGGGGGGGTTCTTTCCTCTGAGAAAGCTTCCTCTAAATCCTGTCAGGCCAAATGGAATGAGAACAACCAGGAGAACGGTTGGGTTAGGCGCCCTCCTGGGCCGAATTCTTTGCTTTTAACACAGAAACACATAATCCCTCGTCCAAGGCGCAAGCTTTTTCTCTTTATTGTCCATCTTCAAAAGCAGTTTGCAAGATTCAGACTCCCGGAGAATCTCCTCTGTGGGCCTATCTAGGGGCGATTTTTCTAGGCAGCCCATGTAGTAAATGTCTCGAGAGCTGTTCTTAATAGTTTGCCTTCTTCCAAGAAAAGCTCGGGCTGCTGCTGAATTCACAGGGATTAGCACCTAGTTTTGCAATCATTTAAAATTCTATCTCATGGTCCTTACTAAAATCTGACTGGTTTTGCTCTGAGTAGGTTTTGCCTAAGTCTGCTTCTTGCAGTGAGGACATGGAGGCGTCTGCGTGGATGTTGGGGGTTTGGCAGAGAGAAGTACGGGCTGGCTCTTCTGAGCCTTGTTCCGTGAGAAGGGGGTGTCAGGGCTGCACGCTTCTCCTTGGCTCCCCTAAGGTATGTTTCAGTCACACTGTGATCACTACTGTCACTTTTGGGGATCTGGGCAGCCCCCCCATTCCTTATACTTCCTCATTGGTCTTTCTCCATTTCCCTTCCCTCTTAACCTCGGTTGGGTGATCAGGGCGCTTACTCTGTGACTGTTCAGCAAATAACTGCTGGAATGACCTGAGAGCCGGCTGATCACCCTGGAGGGAAACTGTGATCACCCTGGAGGGCCAGGCAGGGTCCACTGCATCCAGGGCGAGTCCCTCCAAGAGTACAGGTCAGCAAGCAGGGACCCCACTGGCACTCTTGCAGACTGACATCCTACAGTGACCTCTGAACCCCGATGCAGTTCTCAGGAAGAGTGGTCCGTGGACAGGATTTCCAGAACTACACGAAATGACCAAGTGCAGGGGGTGGGATTAGAACCAGGACTTAGGCAGAACACAGTGGACAGTGAGTCTGAGCGGGCGAGCACAGCAGTGACCTGGATGGGGGTTTCTATTCTGTGTAAGGTCAGTCAGGAGGAGGCAGTGGCTGTTTGAGGAGCTAAGAGTCTAACAGGCTGCGATTTGGCAGTGGAACGCCCTGAAGGCTGAGGGGTCTCAGAACTCAAAAGGAAACAATTTTCTTTCTTTCTTTTTTTTTTTTTTAAGATTTTATTTCTGTGTAGAAGAGCTGGGGTGTAGGCTAGAGGTGTGTGTATGGGGAGCTGGTGAGAGGATTCACCAGAGACAGAGTGGGGAGCAGAACAGGCAGCTCTACTGAAACACATTGTCGAGGGGAGCAGCGGGTGAGACAGGGGAGGTCTGCTGAGCCATATGCGGGTTAGTCCCTGGCCCAGGATCGAACTCAGGCCTTCGAGGTGGGCCTTTGTGGTGGTGGTAGCGCTGAGACTTAACCCCTAGGCCACCAGGGAGGTCCTGGAAATCATTTTCTAGTGTTAAACGTCTAGAAGGTAAAGGAACTACTCCATGAGTAGGCGCACAGCTGGATTCCATTTAAGAAGGGAGTTTTGGGGTATTCATGCTTGCTGTTTTCTCCTTCCCCCCTTATCTTTCTCACGTCCATTTCCTCTTGACACCGGTCGCTATGCTGCATCTCACATGGAACAACTCAGCAGTACGCCCGCCCGCGTCTTTTATTTGTTTTTTTGGACGTGCACGTCATTCTGAAGGATGGGGAAAAACCCAAGCGAGGATGTGCACCTTTTCCATGTAGAAGAAAGCAGAGATGGCACATTTCAGAGTCCCTGAAAGGCGGCTTTCTAAAACATAACCTCTTTTGGTTAATAATGCATAAACAGGATCCACTTGCTTTTTATGGTTATGCTGCAGCGCTGCCAGCAAGAACACGAACTGACGGCTTTGACTGCGCGAGCGGAAGGCTCTTCCATAAATGAAAGAGCGAGCAGGGAGATTATTTACAAATGACTTACACGCTCAAGGTCTAATTTGTGAATGTTGTGGATGTATAGGCTTGGCAGGTGGACAGTGTCACTGCTTGTTTGTTTACAGCATAAATCACTTAAAAGGGTCTCCGGCAGTAGAACTTAACTAAGGAGAAACTACTTGGCTAATGTGCAAATTCATCATCGCGGTGGCACCGTGACTTATATATGGAGATTTGGAATAATAAATGGGGCTCAGCCACGTGCTCCTGGCCCCCCATCCGAGTGCTCCGGGTGACTGCTGAGAAACCCTAACCATTGCTTCCCTATTTTTTTTTAATATAGAAAGCTTTATTTACTTCTGTTAATTAGTTTTTAATTGAGGTACTACTAGGATCCCCCCACCAAATCTTTCCCATTTCACCCCATAAGTCTGTTCTGCTCCTTTCCTCTTGTTCTTACCTCTCCTTCAGCCCCCCACTTTCCTATTTATCTATATTTTCCATTTCCCTATTCTGAAGCTCAGGGGACAGGCCTACCTTTTCTAAGTACGTGTAACTCCAGGTTTTACCATCAGCGAAGACGCGAGACACAATCCTCCCCTGGCTGTCATAATCCACTTTCTCGCTGGTGGTTCCCCGCTGGATGCTGCCGATCTGACCGGTGGACGAGTAGGTGACATTGACGGCCATCAGCTTGCTGCTGGGCAGCCAGAGCGTGGGGTGCCCCGACGTGTCGTAGGCGATCCTCAGCAGGAACTTGCGGTGGTCGTCGTAGATTTTCTCCGTCTTTGTCGTTCGATCAAAGTCAACCGAAAGGAGGTTTCTGCCGTTCACCTGTTACAATACAAGCAAGACCACGCAACGCACCACGTTATTCCAGGACCAGCCCCTGATTACCCTTCAGCGTCCCCACTATTGTTTAAACACCATTTATGATGATTGATTCTCTTTGTCAGTAAATTAATTTAGCAACTTCTTGGGTACAAGTGCAAGGCAGTAGATTAACTGCTCTTTTAAAAGGTTTCATTAAGCAGAAAGACAGCCTGGCATTTGTTCAAAACCTTTTCAATTAAATATTGTAAACTTAAGCAACTGATAAGGAAAATCCCAAAATGGACTGGCTGTACAGTCTGAAGATACCAGGGTGGTGAACACGACACCTCTGTAAATTACTCCAAGGCCCTCCCTCATAAGACATTGGAAAATAATTGCTTAGTAGATTAATCGTGGCTACATTAAATAAAACAGTGGTAAATGGGACTGCAGCCTTTCGAAGAGCAGTTAAGTAGAAGTTGGAACCCACATTATTGTAAATTATTAATGAGCTTAAATAGCAGGAGGTTACAAACACACTCATTGCTTTGGGCCAAGTGCTGAAATGTCACAATTTTTTAGAACGCCTTTTTGTTTGATAACATCTGGGTAACTGGCAGGGACTTCAGATCTTTTACTACCACATCTACATGGTCTGCCTATTGTGCTTAATTTACAAATCTAGCACCATCTTGCTGTAATGGGGTCTCAGTGTGGCTCCGTGCCATGTCCAGAATCTCTGACTGCGTTTGGCTTAGCTGTCTGTGATCCAAGGCAGGCCCCCGCCGGCGTCCGTGACCGCAATGGCAACGTGGCCCTGATTCAATTCTGCTTAACAAACATCCTCAGTGTGCTGGGAACCCCCAGGAGCGAGACCAGGGCTTGTCTGTTCTCTGGCCTCCTACAGCATCTTTGTGGCGGTGGTGCCTTGAACACCTTAAAAAGCTTCTTAACTATTCCGGTCGTTAAAAATTCACACGATCATGTCCTTCTTCAAGAATGGGCTGCTCCAGCTGATCAGTTTTAAACTCTCTGCCTCTCCAAAACCATATCCAAATACATGTGTATACATACGTGTGTGTATGTGTGTGTGTGTATATAGTTTAATGTATACACATGTAAAATCTGGAGTAAAACCAATTTTGCGTTCTATCATCAACAATAAGTTTCAAGGAAAAAGTCTTCTTAAGCTCAAACTTTCCCACTTCACTGCTCCAGGGGAATGCTGTGAATTTCATGGAAAGACAGAAGCTAAAAAGAAGACCCTATTTATCGTATTCAGCTCTTACAGACAAAGAGGGCACCAAAGCACTCAGAGAGACGATTCCCAGAGCAGGGGGAGAGCGAGGCCTGGGTGCAGTCAGGGGCTGTGCGTGTCCAGGGCTGTCCTTCAAATCCAGCAGGGTGGGCGTGGGGGCCACGCAGTATCACACAGAATGTGGGTGGGTGTGGGTGGGTGGTGTGTGTGCTAGGGCAGGAACTCAGGAGTCAAAAAGTCTGACCTCCATCGCTGACAGACCCAGAAGCAGCAAGACAGGGCTTTTAACTCGTCAGGATCTGTTTTGTTCATCTGTAAATAAAGAGGTTGCCCCGAGCCTTCAGATGCCTCTGTCACTGATTTTGATGTGATTCTGCCCGGCCGGCTGAACTCTGGGCTCTCCCTGTGGAAATGTCTGCTGTGACTTGCTCCCGCCTGACACGAAGTTTGTGAAACTTTCTAAGTTTCGGTTTGCAGAATGCTTTGCATACCTTGGACTGAAGCTGCCAGCGAGTATCAAGCTTCGACTTGAAACCAAATTAACTCGGTGCTGGACTGGCAGAATCCAGTTCTTCAGCTTATATCTGCACAATATTTTGGGTGCCGTAAGAAGTGGTTTTGCACCATTTATATGGCTTTTTAGGGCTGTGTTTCTCAGATTGTGATTTAAAAGGAAAGAAGAGAAACCCCTGATCGTGTGGGTTTGCCCTCTTTTTTCCTTCCTTAGCCCATTCCAGGCTGCAAAATAAGCAGGCAAGATGGAGGGCGTGGGTCCACACTCGGTCCTGCCCATCTGTTTGTATTTTACTCTGTATTCATTCTAATTTGTATTTCAATTCTTTATTGCTTCCTTAATCCTCCTTTATCTTTGCAATATTTCCTCTGGTTAGAGCATAAGAAATGTGGGCTGCAGATCTGGTGTAGTTATTTGGTTACTGAAGGGAGAAGCAGCCCCCTCTTTTTCCTGCCTGCACCCCACTACTGCACTCCTAACCATGTCTTTGATTTGTGATCGTGGCTACCCAACTCCAGAGCATCCAGGTGAAAATCAGGTGGTGTCATCCAGTGGCCACTGTGTGAGCCACCGTATCTCATAGGCACCACGTGGAACCATCTAGAAGTGCTGGGAGACCAGACATCTGGATAGAGGTTTAAGTTTTTTTTTCATCCAGACAAATAGCATAGGCAACGCCTTTCTTGTCTTCTCAAACTGAGTAATGAGGAAAGAATTAGGACATGGCTGTGCTTTTTCCCACATGCCCCACACAAGTTAACATGTTAGACCATTCTGACTGATTCCAGACCCCAGTCACTGCTGTTCAGTATGTAAAATTCCAAAGGACACCAAGAGCTCTTTTGTTTTCTTCAGCCCTCCCCAACACAACCTCCTCTGGGCACTGCACACAAAGGGCAGAAAAGAAGGGGCTTCCCCACTCGCTACACCCATGGGGAACCATAGTGACTACAATTTGTTAGTCTTCGGACACTCATAAGGCACCCGCCATGTTCCAGCAGCCTCGTAATAAATATTTTTAATAGAAAAATATCAAGTGGAATCAAATAGTTCATCTACCATGAAAACCTTCTATCAGATCCTTCCTGCACCTTGGCCATGGAAGAACCCACCCCACGCCGGAGGGTAAGGGGTCACCATGGATTTCTTGGTGGGGTTCACCATGTCTTTTAAGTGAGCATGGAGAACGCCCATGTTCCAGGCCCACACCCAGGATGCCTGCCACTAATCATGACATCACTCTGGGGGCAGGAGGGGGTTGTGACCACGTGTCCTCTGGAATGCTTGGAAAGCTAAGGCATGATCACGTGAAACAGCCTGGATGCGGAGAGGCGTGGAGCACAATTGGATGAGGCTGGCTTATGCGGGATGTTATGCAGGGAAGTGAGGGCTGGCTCATTACCCAGCACACTTGGTGACAGTATCACGACTCCCTTATGTCCCCGTGAGAACATCAACTCGCTACAGATTGTTTGTGTCTCTCCACACGCCGGCAAGTGCTAACTGCATCCCACGATCTCACTCTAGGCTGCGCCACTCAGATTAAAGTGAGAAATAGGAGATGGCAAATGTGACTGGCATAATAAGATTTAAATATGCGATCATATTTATGTATGCCTCTAAACACACTCTGGTTTTCCGATTTCCAGAATTTCTGTATAAATTATTCACTCATTTTTTTTTTTTCCTTTAAGCACCTGAACTCTGGGCAAGCTTAGAAGATGAAGCTTAATATTAGGATGTTGAAACAATTTTTGGTGACTGATGAAGGTCTGGTTCCAAAGTCCAGCACTGAAAAAATGAGGACTAGTTCACAAATATTATAAGACAAAGACAAGCAACTATGATGCATTTTTTTTGGTTTTTTGTTTTTGTTTTCTTAATAAAAATGTGGCTATAAACAAGTAAGCGACAGAGCTGCCTCATCGTCACTTGGCTGCGTTTTCCCACATCGCAACGCCATTTGCTCCTGAAATTTCATTTCGTACTGGCTCCACCCTCCCCCCCAAAGCATCATTTCTCTAAAAATGCTTTCCATGTTGCTAGTCTCTTCTATAATTTTTCTGTTTTTAGTCCTTGTCTTTCTGTTTTTAGTCCTTGTCTTTTTTCCTTTTAAAACTATTATATCTAGTGTTACACCTATTATATCGATGCAATCCATTACAGGTAGTGCTGGGTTTGCTTAGAGCAGTCAAACATTTGCAAGGATGTGCTATTCGTCTAGTCTCTCTCTTAGCAAGCTCTTGATGCAACTAAGTAATCCCTTTTGTAAGGCTGGCTCTTCCTTCTTTTCTCATTCATTGAATAAATATTGGAGTGTCTACCTTGTGTTAAGCACAGAGCTGAATTTAGGTCAATAACTTAAAAATAAAAAGAACGTCCTGCTAGGAAATAATGATACGTAAGAGAGAAGACACGCTGTTTCAGGGAAGGGGGCTGTGCAGCGCGGTGGCCTTTCTGCCTGATTTGCTGGTCCCGGTGGCCTCTGGTGCGCTCCCTCCTCCTGCCGTGCCGACTCTGGCAGACTCCAGGTTCAGTCCTTAAACCAGATTTTCATGTCGTCACTTTCTCCCTAGAATTTTCTCTCAGAATCCACAGAGGAATGAAATTAGCAGTCAGAGCTGGCACATCCAATCTTATCTTGAAAGTAAGAAGCCCTCCCTTGTGATCTTGGCATTGTCTCTGGGAGAGCAATCACACAGAGCAGCTGGAAATCTCCCTCAGTGTGACTGAGCAGGCCATTTAAAATAGTGTATTTTCTGAAATGTCTCGCTGAGGCCTGTGGTTCTGCTATTTAGAAAGAAACTCACACCCAGGGAAGCCTCTGCACCAGTCCTGCTCTCCAGAGCGAGGGGCTGGGTCCCCCCCTTATCCCAGGGGTATGACCCAGGAACCCCACAGGATCAGGTACAGTCTCTGGGGCCACGCACAGTACCAAATCCCACACAGGTGTGTTCTTTCCTGTCCACGCACACTACGATGGAGCTTAATTTATAAATTAGGTTTCACAGTGAGAGATTAACCAGAACAACTCAAGACAGAGTAGACCGGTAATGGCAACATCACAGTCGTATGAAGGTGGCCTCTCTCTCTCTCTCTCTCTCTCTCTCTCTCAAGATGTCTTATTGTACATATTACTTGGACCCTTGCTTCAGTTACCTGTGAAAAGTGAAATCATGGATCATGTGGTATATATAATATATATGGTGTATATAATAGATATGCTTTGTATCTACAATCTATATATTTGCTCGTATATCTTCACGTACAAAAGAAGGACATCTTAGCATTGGCAACGACATGGATGAACCTTGCAGGCATTATGCTAAGTGAAATAAATCAGAGAAAGACAAATACCACGTGATCTTGTTTGTATGGGGAATCAGTGAGCACAGCAGCCACAAACCTGTGATCACAAACACAGAGAACTGGCTGGTGTTTACCAGAGGCGGGTCGGGGTGTGGGCAGAATGAGTGAAGGTGGCACAAAGGTACAGAATTCCAGTAACAAAATAACTCAGCACTGGGTGTGTAATGCACAGCACAATGACGAATACTCTCTATGTAAAAATAGCTAGTTGAACAGATCTTAAAATTTCTTATTATTAGGAAAACCATTTGTAACTATGTATGGTAACAGGTATGAACTAGACATTTGGTGAACATTTCGAAATGGATACAAATATTCAATTACGATGTTGTACATCTGAAATTAACATTATATGCCAAGTATACCTCAATTTTAAAAAAGTGGAGCCTGATATAGAGTCCATACTTTTTCAAATTCTGCTTCAGTGCTGTCTCCTTGGATGTACAGAAGAAGCAGCTAAGTCTAGACAGTCCTGTGTCTTTGATGAAGTCAATTTTGTGTCTGAGAATAGCTGTGACTTGTGTGTGTGTGTGTTATGCCTGCTTTAGGGAGAGTTGTAGATAAATAAGACAGAATCTGTGCCTGGCTCTGGTTTGCACTGCCCCAAAGAAGTGACTATAAGTGGAGGCAGTAGACAAGACACAGCAGCTCTCGATTCCGAGGTTTGAGAGGAGAAAAGGCAGGTGATGGAGTCTGGCATCAGAAGGCTGGGGCTTGCTTTTCTGGCCCACCACTTGACCTTCACCCCTGACCTCTTTCTACTGCTTTTTCTTCACGTTCCTCTCACTAATCTCACTGACCAGCCTCCCTGGCTTCTGTTTCCAGAAGTCCTGATCCCGGGGCGGTTTGCAGCTGGGCATCCTGCAGCCTGAGACGTGGGGCAGGTGGGAGCAGGCAGCCCTGGTTCCACAGACCAGGGATTTGGGTCCCACACACCTGTTTTTGTCACTGAAGTGTAATCAGAATATAACCTGCAGGCTGGACACAGTCTGTATTTGCTTCTCTGATTTTTTTTAACCTTATTTCTATATCCTGGGAACAGCCAACATCAGTATGGAGTAGCCATCTCTTACCCAAAAGGATGGCCAAGGTAAATAATGTCCTATGAGAAGAATATCCATTTTTTGGTGCAGAAAAGGATGTTGATGGTAAATCCCATGTTCTGTTCTCTCTTGATTTTAAGTAAATATCTTCTTAATGGTAAGGAAAGTAATGTCAGGGTTGGTGAATACATTTATATGATAAACTACAATCTGTTTACTAAGAGAATAACTCAGGTTCAATTTATAGTGATCTGAAAGTGGTTTTTTATCACCGTGTTTTTAGTCTTCAATCCATGTCTTTGCCAAAGGGCTGTTAGAAATCATAAATCCCTGCTCCCTTTCTAAGATATATTTGGCTCACAATATGAGAGGGAGGAAACAAACATCTAACAAGGCAACACAGAGAACATTTTCAAAGATCAATTATACCAGCATAACTAGAAACATCATCACATTTCACATAAAGAAATCTGGCTTTTCCCACCAAAGGGAAGAAGTTCTGAGGTTGCTATTTTTCTAGGTGCCCAAATTGTACTTTCAAAATGCTGGGAACACCAGGAAGGAATCCACCTTTTAATGAACACGCCCATCTCTTTCAATGGGCATATTTATGATTTAGAAAAATTTCAATATTTAAGCCAATTCCTACCTACCTAAGCCAATTCCACCATTAGGGAGGGCCCAGTCCTACCTGAGTGGGGAAAGTGTCTGATAATTAAGATGTCAGTAAAACAAGAACCGACTGACAGCTAGGCTACTTGGGATTGTGTTATATACAACTTCCCAATTCCCCAGGGAAGAATTTATTTTTAATCATAGATACATTGAAGAAAGCATTTTCTCAAATAGCTGGGGTTGATGCTGGGGGATCCAGTGGCTTGACGGCTGGATCTACGCTCGCTGTCAGCTATGTGAGGGGGCACCGGGCAGGGGGGAGGGACGGACCAGTCACCTACACGGAACAGCACCTGCCAGCACCGACTCACCCGCAGCTTTCGGCCGAAGACATTGACTTTGCCCTGGGCTTGCTCTTTCCGGAATCTCCATTCCACCAAATTTTGACCATTCTCACCAGGTAGTGTCATGTTCCTCTTGGCGACTGTTGGGTTGGCAGTGCCAGCCAGGACATGGGGCTCTGTCTGGTAGTGAGAATCCAGGCCACTGGCATAGATGATCCTCAGGGAGCCATCAAAACCAATCTGGTAGCTGTTTCTTAACTGATCTAAAAACCAAGCAGCAGAAAACATGCACAATGATTACCACGTAGACGTTTGGTGGGCTGTGTGGTGCCAAGTCATATAAATAAATCTTTTTATAAAAAGCACAGAAGTACTGGGGTGAAGGCCAGAGGTGTGGGGGTGTGTGTGAGAGGATTCACCAGAGACAGAGTGAGAAGCAGAGCAGGTGGATCTGCTGAAATACACTGCTAAGGGGAGCAGTGGGGAGATAGGAGAGGTCTGCTGCACCATGTGGGTCAGCTCCCTGGGTGGGGATTGATCTCAGGTTGCAGTGGTGACAGTGCTGAGATTAATCCCTAGGTCACCGGGGAGGCCCCATAGAAATTCTTGCAACATTTGCTGTGCCGCCCGTGTAAGGAAATACAGAATACTTTGTGGTGTCCTTTTAGGTACTAACAAGACAGTGACTTCTGGCATTTCATGCTGAATTTGGTTTGGCTGAATATTAAAAGCAAACTTTAGGGGGTTTTAAAGGCCTCCACTTTAATAGATTTCTTTTTCTCATTTTCCTGAATAAATGAATGTTCACCCTCCGTGGAATGTGCTGACAGTGTTTTGCAATGTACTAAATATATGTGTCCCCCCGACCCCCGGAGGTCTTAAAAGAATTCCCTCTCCCCTCCTCCACCCATCCTGAAGTCCTTTGTCAACGATTTTTGGAAAAGACTTAATATCTGTATCTTGTCTACCAAAATGTAAGGAGAGACTCCCCTTGAAATTGACATTTTTGAAAAAGGAACCACTTTATGTTCTGGATCAAAAATCCTCTGCTTGTAGTCTCCTACTGAAATTGATTTTGTGTGAACACTACAGGACCATTTGGGGAAGAAATGAATTCAAGAAATACTAGTTTGAGTTCACAGCGCCGATTATGTGGCATAACCGGTAACAGAAAAAGTCAAAGAAGTTTAGCACAAATTTAGTCATTACTCTGGGAGCTGTGCCCTCACCACTGCAAACAGGCTTTTCCAAGATGATTTCAAAAAGAAATACGGCGGGAGGTCCCCTCAAGGAGATCCTGGGTGTGCGTGCCTATAGACTGGGTGGAAAAATGAAGAACTCAGATATTAAATAAATGGGTACCTGGAATTGGGGATAAATCCTCAAACTGCTGAACTCAGAAGGCAGCGAAGTTGATGTGCTTGGGAAAACTCTGGAAGATGACTCAGAAAGAGTCGGATGGTGTGTGTGTGAAAAGCTGGAGTCAGGTTGTTTTACAAATGGGAGTGGAAAAAGGCTAGTTCTAGGTTAACGTGTTATTTTATATGTGATTAAAAAATATCTCTCTATATAAACACATTGCATGTAGGCATTAGACTATTTCATCAATTTCTGTAGAGGTTTTCATTTCACTTTCCCTTTCTGGTTCATCTTAGTCATCAGACGTTGCCACATTCTCTTTGATGCCAGGAATGTTTTTAAGTTATTTGTATAAAATCACTCTTTTACCTTGCACCATGGTGTAGAAAGAATCGATTGAGGACAGATTTGAAGTGATGCTGACGTCCTCTTCTCGGCTGGATGACTCGATGTCCACCGTGATGGCCTTGTCCATGTCCCCATGAAGATTTGTCACCACTCCAGTGGGGAAGGTGACATTTGTGAGGCGACCTTCACTGTCATAGCTAAAAGAAAGAGCATGCGCTGGTGTTAGGGAGCACACAGCAGGTTCTTCCTGATCACACGCAGCAATATTAGCTGCACGCATTTGGAAGAATGTCTTTGTGCATGAGCTATGCAGAGTGAGGACTTCAAACATGCTTTGAAGTAATCAAAAGCCTGTAACAGAAAAACCTCACCGGTGAGAGCAAAAGTAAACAGAATAGCTTTCCATCTCAGCATATTAGTTCTTGAAACATGTCCAAAATCTTCCTGCACAACTCATTCGCTGTTTCAAAGGGAACGTGTTTGCTGATGTTAAATTCCTCACTATTCCTCCATATTTTCTACAAAGTAGAGTCAATTCACCTTTGCATCCATTTTTAATTTTACTAACTTACGCCCTCTTGGCAGTGCAGTGCGAAAGAAAAAAAATATATATATTATACAGAACTTCGTGAAACAGTGTATGTATGTATTTGCATTGCAAAAATATTCTTTTAGTATCTTCAGACACCCTTCAACAAATTAATAAGGTAAAAGTCTTTTAATGATTTTCTATTTCTCAGTGATTGAAATACTTGGTAATGGTAAACTGGGGTATTAGTGCAGGCAGTGTGATGATCTGTCTCATCTCTATGAACATTGTAGGGATGGTAATCTCCAGAACGATGCTTTATTATGTGGACTGAAATAAGATGTAATATTTCCTGATATTTAATGAGTATTTGCTTCTGTAGTATACACTCACTTTCAAAAAACTTATAAGAGGAACTTATAATTCAGTCTTGGGAATTGAAAGGGCTGTCCTATAATGATGGATACGCATTAAAGGCACAATTTTACTAAACAATTTCTTGGTGACTTTTATTTCAAAGATGAAAATGTGGTTGGAGGACAGGAAAAAGAAGCAAATTCTGGGTTGAAAATCAGGGGCTTCCTTGGAACAATCATACACTTAAGATTGGATTTCTGATTGGCACTATGACGGCCTCATTAATAAAGGGTCTAAGTAGAAAAAGCCTTCAATCACGTCCTACTTAAAATAAGCACGGAAGCAGAACTATAGAGAAAATATCCTATTAGTGAAGACACAAGTTATCAGGGGCAGGAAAAGAGTAGAAAGGGTCATAATAATAGGTGTAATGATAGTTCCACCAGGCATTAAGGAGGAGGAAAAAATATTTAATGATATTTTGGAATAAAAGGACAGGAGGCATTTAGAGTGTAAAACTCAGCTTTGAAAAATGTGATTGGTAATTAGGAGATCGTAGGTAATAAAGGTAACGATTTAGCAAGGTCAATGTCTTGGTAGAAACAGGCGGGAAGAAAGGACAGAGATGATGCTTGCTCTGGGCTCAGCAATGGGCCGATCCCATTAATTCAGTGGGGACAGTATCAGTCAGGATTTGATTGACTTCATCTGACAATTTGCCAGGCTGCGGAGCCAGGGGCAGGAACGGGCACTCAGGAGGGGAAGTGAGTGGTGGAGAAACGCAGAGAAAGAAAACGCGCCATTAAGTGTAATCACTGTTTGGACTCACAAGATGTACAGCCGAAGCCAGAAAGCAGAATCCTTCTCTTCCCACCAACCCAAATGCCCATAGCAGATTAAGGCCTAAATGAGAGAAAGCCAACACGGTTTATGGCTGTCATTGCTGTTTTGAAGAAGTGATTGCTCTCCAAGAAACAAGCATGCAGAGGCTTGTGCGCACAGCCAAGCTGACTACAGAATGACTGCCACAACAGTTCAATAATTACTCAATAATAAATATTCAATAAAAATAATTATTTAAGCCTGGTGCTTGATCTTATGTTGGCGTAATTCTTGTGTGGCTTTACATTTTTCATAGTCTGATGGGAAGAACCTGCTTGGTGTTTTAAGGAATTAACACCCCTTGGGATGGTTCTCTATAAAGGATGGGTTAGTCTTATTCTCCCCCCACCAAACCCCCCATTTTACAGGTGGAAGAATGAAGGTATGAGGTGGTCAGAGGACTTGATCAGACTTATTGTGCTCCCTGCTGGCCTGATTAGATTTTCATTACCTCATTACTGGCCGTAACCGAAACTTTCAGGCCAGGACCCCAGGCCCATCACCCTCCCGCAATCACTGCGCCTGGTCTGAAGTGGATGGTGATGACAGCGTCTATAGATGACGCCCTCCTGCCAGCACGTTGCTGATTCATTCTCGCTGCTGCCTCCCATCTGCTGCTTTCCCCTCCCTTTTGCTGGTTTATGTTTTCTAGAGCCATTCAGTCTGAGGCGCACAGTCACTGTTCTCCTGCCGAGAGCATTTCTCCCACCTCTGCCTTTGCTCTTTCTTGCTTTGTGCTAGTTCTGCGTCCTGCTGGGTGGGCGTTTCCTATCACGGGATGCCCAGTGTGGCCACGGAGCACAGGAGGCTGGGCATCCAAATGCTAACCTATTGGCCTGTAGTTCTCTGGGAGATAAAATACAAGCAACCTTTGCAGGTAGTATTGTTAGAAGGACACAGGGTTAAGCTGGGATCTGAGTGGTCCAGCTTTGCCATCTAGCCCTGGGGAGCCCAATCCGTGCCTGCAGAGGAGCAGCTGAATCCGTGCCAGCCTCCTCGAGCTGCAGACTTTGCACCTGGCAGGCCAGGGGAGCTACTCCAGAATGGGGGCACACAGAGGGTCTACCTTCCCAGTCACCTAACAGTTTCTGAACAAGCTTCACGTGCACTTCCAACATGGGGCACGGGGGGTGCAAAGGATGTAAGAAGCTGGTTGGGGAGAGAAGTCATGCACACGAAGAGCTACCTACTGGCCCTGAGCATCATGTGGGCGGAAAGGGGCATGGAAAGCCTGAGAGCAGAGGTGTGGCCACACTGGAGTCACAAGGGAAGAAGGGCCACAGCAAGGTAGGGACCCTTGCTGGCCTGTGAAATAGCCCCAGGACTGAGATCAGCAGCTGAGACTCGGCGTGGCTTCCAGCCAGGACAACCACACAGGTGAGGCCATGGAGAAGACAGAAGAGGTCGACAGTTAAGGGGAGGCTGTGCAGGGGGCACTGTAGGGTGCAGCGAACCCTACAGTGGGCTCGCTCACTGGGGACTTGGGGCCGCTGAAGGTTTGCAAGGAAAGCCAGGCATTACCTGACCTGGTTTTGAAGCAGGATCTCGGGTTGGGGGTTTTATAGTCAAAAACCCCTCACCTGTTATCCCCGTCATGCGATAAAGAAATATACCAAAGGCAGAAGGGCCCTAACTTCAGGATGAGCCAGTTTTGTAAAAGGAGAAACAGTTTTATAGCAAAACGCTCCAAGTTCACATTATTTATTCTTTGGTTTCCAGGGTGGATCCGTGAAAATGTGCTCACAGGTCAGCACCTATGTCAACAGAATGAAAACAAAATGGATGAGAGATGAGAGAATGGCCAAGGGGACTGAGAAGGGGGTGAGAGAAAATAAGCGGTCAAAGATGACTTTCAGAAACAGTGGGCTGTGCAAGCAGAGAAACAACCCACTAGCAAACGCCCCCTGGCCTCTGAAATGCTTTGATGCTGGGCCCTCGAAGAGGCCTTCCCATCAAGGAGACACCTCTGGGCACAGTCTCTGTGGCTCTTCTTAACGCGGTTGGTCCTCGTGGCGAGCTGGCCCTGGCCGCGTGTGCACGTAGATGCGAGATGTCCTTTTCTTTTATAGCGTTTTGGATTCACCATGCCATGGGCTCTAGGGCATTTGAATAGAACATCAACCTCATGCTCTCCCTTCCAGTCATCTGGTCTTCGCCTCGTAGCTTCAAATCCATGACACAGCACATTCTTCTCGGCCCATCGACCCCTCTTCACAAAGGACTCGCTGGAAAAGACAATTCCCCCTGGCTCTTGGTGACCTTCTGCTCCTTCCCGGATGGGATGCCCTGAATGGATGTCTATCTATTTGTTACTCTTTAATTTTTATTGCATTTTTGCCTAGACTTGCTGTTTTAGCCTTTGTGGTATATTTTTAAATCTCTTTTAAAGTTGCTTAAGCAGTGGGATTATTGGTAAATGCCCTGGAGAATCGGAGCTGAAGCCATTCTCGATTCAAAAGACTGGCCATTCCCAGGTGAAATTCTCTTGCTCTTCTCCCCTCTCCCTGCCCCCTTCCCTGGACTTGAAGCCCCCAACTCTTCACTTCTCATCACTATGTCTCTCAGATATTTAACTTTCCCCTTCTGTAGCTGCCCTAGATTTAAACACAGGTCTGCTGGTCTCCTCACCTCCTCACTGATGCCAAATTAATCTTCGTAAACACCACGGTTGTAATACTGCTCTTCTTCAGCTTCATCCGTGGTTCCTCAGTGGAGAGAAAAATTGACCAACACGAGGTCAACAGACTACTGATGCCACTGGGTATTTATTCAAGTGGAAACAATTTGCAGTTCCCGAAAACTTTAAGCCCCGACAGCTGTGTTATCTTTGGTCTTCAGTGCGTCCCCATAAAACGGCTTCTTTAATCAGGTGCTATGTTTTTAAAATTTTCTTCTGCTTTTCAGAAAAATACATTAAATCAGAGTAGACAAGTAAACCCGAGAACAGCACTTATAAACTGGGAGAGGTGGGGTTGTTGGAGGAGAGAGGTGTTCTTGATCCCCGTCCTGACCCCCGTTGGCTTTAATTCAGTTTGAGGCTGAACTGGTCTGTCTTAAACATGGGAGAAACTTAACATTTTTACTTACAGAACAGTGGCAAGGCCTCTCTGTAAACGTTTATTCTCTCTACCTCTCTAAGGGCAAAGGAGAGCCAGTTAAATGTATGTTTGATTCTTGACTGGTTTCTCCAGTCAAATCTCAGTCTGTTCTGAGGAGGCACCAAAGCAACAGATGCTGGTTTAGGGACATTTGGCCACTGAGGGCTCTGGATGGATAAATGTTCAATTTCAGCTATGATTGGCCCTTCTGCAACTTCCCAAGGCCAACCCAGAATGATAACAGTGACCTGTAACCATCATCATTGCTGTCATCTCAGCCTACTCTGGGGGCACTGGCACGAGTGTGTTTGTTCTCAGACCTGCAGACTCT